CCCGCCCCACCGGCCCCACCGGCCCCACCGGCCCCGGCCCCGGCCCCGGCCCCGGCCCTGGCCCTGGCCACGCCGCGCGCCCGCCCGCCTCGCCACCCGCGACCACCTAGGCCGCCGCCCCCCTGTCACTCACGCGCAGAACCACGCCCTGCCCCACTCTCGGCCAATGGCGGCGGCGCTGGCTGCATAGTAATGAGCTCGAGACCAGAGTGGACCAATGGCTCCGTCGGAGCGGGCCGCGATTTGCATGCGGCGGGGCGATTTGCATAGCCGCGGCGCGCGGCGCGGCCAGGCCGGCAGGGGCGGCGGACGCTGGGGACGGCATGGCCGGGCCTCCCCGCGGGGCGCCGGCGGACCGCTGAGAGCACCGCTATGCGCGGCCCGCGCTGCCTGCTGTGCGCCCTGGCGCTGGCGCTGCTCGGCATCGCTGGGGCCCGCGCGCCCCTGTGCCCCGCGCCCTGCGGCTGCCACGGCGACGGCGACCGGCGTGTGGACTGCGCGGGGCGCGCGCTGGCGGCCGTGCCCGCGGGACTGGGCGCGTCCACGCGGGCGCTGTGAGTACAAGGGCGCGGGTCCGGGGGAGCGGGCGGCCCAATCCCCCCGCGGGCTTCCACCCGGCCGGGCCAGGTCCTGCGCCGCGCTTCCGTGGCTCTCCGCGGGGGCCCGCGACCCTCCTGTCTCGGCCTCCGGGAGCGCCACCGTCCGGCCCGGCCCTCCAGGCCCCTCGGGTGCAGACGCGCCTTCCCCACCGCCGGCCGCGGGGCCCGCGCGAGGGGGATCTGGACGCGCGGCCCAGGCGGCCGGGACGGGACACCTGCCCTCAGGCCCGACCCCCCGAGGCCCGGCCGCCCGGGGAGCCCGAGCTGGGACCCTCTCCGCCCCGCAGCCTCCCGCGGCGGGACTGCAGCCCCAGCCGGGAGGCTGAGGCAGGAGCCTGTCGGGCGCCGCTCGGTGCGGAGGCCTGGCTCGGGCCCTGCCGGGGACCCACTCGAAGCGCAGCGCCAGCCGGGGCGGCCCTCAGGGCCTCCGCCCGGCCCAGATCGGCCTGCGCAGGGCCCGCGCCCTCGGTGGGTGGCCCGGGCCTCAGGAGCCGGCGGACTCCAGGCCCGTGCGGCGGAGCGGACGACGCGGCCCGGTCTCCCGGCCCCGCTTTGTTCGGCCAGGTCTCGGCCGTTGGTGTGGCCGGATCCCTCCCTCCGCTCTGGACTTCACCCTGGGAGCTTTTCGTTGAGAGGAGAGGGAGGAGAGAGTGTGTCTGTGTGTCTGTGTGTGTGTCTGTGTCTGTGTGTGTCCGTGTGTCCCTGTGTGTGTGTGTCTGTCTCTCTGTGTGTGTCCGTGTGTCCCTGTGTGTGTGTGTGTGTCTGTCTCTCTGTGTGTGTCCGTGTGTCCCTGTGTGTGTGTGTGTGTCTGTCTCTCTGTGTGTCCGTGTGTCCCTGTGTGTCTGTGTGTGTGTGTGTCTGTGTCTCTCTGTGTGTGCCCGTGTGTCCTGTGTGTCTGTGTGTGTCTGTGTCTCTGTGTCCGTGTGTCCCCGTGTGTCTCTGTGTGTGTGTGTGTGTGTCTGTGGCCGTGTGTCCCCGTGTCCGTGTCCGTCCGTGTGTCCCCGTGTGTGTCTCTGTGTGTGTGTGTCTGTGCGTGTGCGCGGTTCCCGGCTGGACCCCAGGGCCCGTGCACCGAGCTGCGTCCCCAGCGCTTTCTCAAGGCCTCGCCACACCATCAGGCTGGGCTGGACCTTGGGGGTCTCCTGCCTGGGCCTCCCGAGCGCCAGGATTAAGTGCGCCCTGTGGAGGAGCCGGTGCCCCGTGCCCCGGGGCCGGAGTCGCAGTGACGCTGACTCGGGGCTCAAGCGGCTGCGCTGGGGACGCAGAGGCGCCGGGGGCGAGCGGGGTGCAGGGCGCCCGCCCTCCGCGTGAGTCTCCCCCGCCCCCGCGCTGCCGCCCCTGCTCCGGGGCTCGGGCCGGGTCCGGGACTCCCTTCCGAGAGGGGGTCCGGGCCTGCGCTGCCCCGGCCGGTCGCACAGGGGCCCTGAGGCGGCCTGGCTGCGAGGCCGCCCCCCTCCCCTCCCCTCCCCTCCCCCGGCCCCGGCCCCGGCCCCGGCCCCGGCCCAGGGCCCAGGGTTTCGTGTGCTGGGCCAGGCCGGGCCGGGCGGACACCTGCCCTTGCTGTGGTGCCGTCCGGGGCGGGGCGGGCCCAGCCGGCCTGGAGTCCAGGTCTGGGGAGGCCCAGGCGCCGCCCACGGCCTCCCACCCGGCCCCACTCGCTGGCCCAGCGTCCGCCTCCTGCCGAGGTGCTGCCCTGCCGGCGTTTGTTCACCAGAGTCCAGGGTCCCGTGGCCGTCAGGGTCACTGTCCCTTGTTTGTTTTGCTTTGGGGAGACAAGGTCTCATTCTGTGTCCGTCTGACTTGATCCTCCTGCTTCAGCCTCCTGAGCATGGGGGCCAGGGGGCCACTGTGGACAGGACCCGACAAGTGTGGTCTGACATGGTGTCCGAGGGTCGGTGCAGCTGCCGGGAGACTGCGGGTGTCACTG